TTTGAATGGTCCGCAACGTTCAACGAACTGCTGACGACCATCATCAGGCTATTTCCTTTTCAGGCACAGACTGTAAGGCGAGTTCCCAAAGTTGCAGCTGCGCGCGCAGTCAGACTAATCCACCATGATATTAATTAACAGATCGTATCGATGTAAGGCTTCATCAACTTTCAACATGTCGAGTCAGAAGTAAAGAAATGATCCTCGCAGTTGTGCTGCAATTAAAGAGATTGCCCTAAAGAAGCCTGAAAAAAGTTAGGCTTCAACGGAATTGGAACCCGTTTCAACATGTCGATTGTAAGCGATTTCTATTTCTCATAGTAACTTAGTAGTCACTTCATGTATTCGTTCCTTTCTGTTTGGATCCTTCCTTAATACCAGCAATCAACAACTGAAGTCAACTCAACTCTGAAGTAAACTCTCCGCTAAGAAGTAGAAGCATAGATCGCGAGATATCGTTGCTAATGCGAAGAATCGCTGACAGTATAAATAGCTTTGAATGAGAGATTTCTAATTTCCACTGACGATTCCTAATCAATCGGCAGATACATGCATACAAACTGACTGAAAAACATCGATTAAACCTTTAACTCCCAAGATCTGATTGTTAATTCTCCCCTGTAGCTGCTACATATTTCCTTGTAAATTAGTTACGAGAACTCGGTGCTAGATCAGGATAGCAGCTTCTACCTGATAAGTTTGAATATCCTCATTACCTGTTTGCTGATGAATGTATGAATGTTGTCGGGAGAAGTTTTATGTTAATCACCTCTGGAAGTTAAAGGGTTAATATCAATTGATTTAGGCCACAATTAATTATCATTGATCGCGGGGAACAGACTTGTAATACCTTTGGAAATCGCTGAGTACCTTTATTTGGGTTTCTCCTAAACATTCCCAGAAAAGATGTAAAAGGCAATTGCTCTATCCCGTCATCTGGAACTGCCCGACTCCCATCAGCAGAGTCGGTGTTTTCAGCGCCCGTGTTATTTTCAGCAGTAAACTCCTCCCAACGCTCGGATAAAGTACCAGTTGATTCCTCAGAGCCCTTACACAATCCGCCGATGACATCCATGTAAAAATCTGCTGGGTTCACTTTCTCAGGTACTTGAAATCCAAGCATATCAAAGTAGTTTTCTGCCTCTCGTACACTTCCTAGGAAGACGGTTTGTCCACCGGGCGCAAGAAAGAGAACTTTGTGGAATTTACCTACAAAAAAACGAAAACTGGAACACGACAACCAGAAAAAGGGGTTTAATTATAAATTTTAGGTTGTAAGAATATTTCCAATAGAGAAACAATTTATACCCAAAGAATCGTTTCGCTGATTCTGTTTCTACCCTCATCAAATATTGGAATCACAAAGGTATTTCTGTCTACGTTTTGAGGCGGCAAACAGGTTAGAGGAGAAAAATTAAACTTGTTTCAATTTGCAATTCAGACTTACTGAATATTTCGTATCTTGGCTGATGAATGACGCAAACAATTGTCAGTTTCTTTTCTTCAGCTACGGCCTTCAACGTATTCACAACCATCAAACTTGAAGTACTGTCCAGACCACTGCAAAAGAAACAACAAAGGAAGTGCAGAGTTCAATGAATCCAAAATGGAAGCACCTTAATATCAAAGCCTTAGAATGCATAATCAGGCGACTATGGTGGTAAAAAAGGGACACTGGAGACCTATGGTAACGACTCATGATATTTTGCCTTGATGTGCCTTCAGCGGCTGAGGATTCGAAATACCATCAACTGTTTCATCACCTTAAGAGAAACCTAAAAGGAATATCAGTATCAAATGCAACAACTCGCTAAAGAAATGTCCTACCTCGTCGGCTCATCAAGAAAAAGCAACGTCGGGTCAGTCACCAATTCCATTCCTATGTTGACGCGTTTCCTTTGCCCTCCAGAAATGCCTCTTGATTCCTAGTAAGACAGTAAAAATAAATAAATAAATAAAACAGAACAATTAGACAAGCAAATAAACAAAACTAGACTAAATTAATCCAACGAAAATGACACACATCTACAGGTAAAACTCGAACCGGCAATAGATAGGGCACAGTAATTCGTTGTAATGGTGTCATGATAATATACTGAATAATCAAGAGTTGGTCCTCACACTGGCAAGCGTTTTTCTCTTTAGAAAGCCCATACCTCGTCTCCAATCTTTGTATTCTTGACGCGCGCCAAATCAAGAAGATCCAGGACCTGCCAAATCAAAAGGGTCGATTTTACTGTTTCAATTTTATTATTTGATTTAACGGTAAAGTGAGTTATGTAGAACGAGCTTACCTTTACAGGTCTCTTATTAGCATTATTCAGTTTCAGTACTATACAAGAGTTTAATCGGCGACATACCTCGTTGACTTTTCTTTTCTTTTCTTCTTGGGAAATCGAGGATGGCAACCTGAGATTTGCTTGATAAATCAAAACCTCCTTTACTGTCAGTGATCTGTGCATGATATCTTCCTGAAGGAAAAAGAGTACAAGTTGAATAGAGGCATATATTGTGGATGAGCACAGGATTAATTCCTTACGCTGCCTGACACAGAAGTTTCCTTTATATCCTTGCTTTGAATCATATTCTGTTTCAGTCTAATTTCAAACACTGCAGCAATAACTCGAATTGTCCCAAGCATTTTATTATATACAACTTAACTCATCTCTGGACTAAATTATATATTACGTTTGGCTTCTTTCTGTGGCTAAGACTTCTCACAAATGCTAACTCGTTAATGGTATCTGATCACTTCTCTCCATGGCTAGATCACTTCAAGTCACTTTACTCCAACCAAAGTTGATCTCTCCACAATAAAAGTTACCTCGCTCCATACAGAAGTGACTTCGCTCCATGACATAATTCTGTGTTAAGCGTATATATGCTTACTACGATTAGAGTGAAAACCACGTGTTAATGTGCGAGCGTTCAATCCTTGCCTCATGTGTGAACTTATGTTAAGTCAAGCTTGTTTTTCGGCATAGCACGCGCGAACTTAACCTTTCAGAATTGTTTATTTGAAAAAGTTGAATGCTACCTTAACCGAGCTATTTGTGTTATCTTAAAAGGTTCTTTATCACTCACATTAGTGAGTTTAAAACATAACGCAATGAACTGTTTTGAGTTTATAAGTTCAACTTTAGCAATTAAAACTGTACAGTTGTTGATGTTTTCTTGTCCACGTACCACCCACGTGTTATGTGCGAACTTAAGGAGAGAGTACAATGATTCATTAGTAAGCAACAATTGTTCTAATCAACTATGGCCAATCCTTACGCGTTTTTTTTCCAAAATTACAAATTTTTGAACCTAGAAATCTGTATGAAGGGTAGGACTCTTTTCTTTTTTCAGGTACCATCATAGCATTGAGCTACAATCGCAAAGTTATCAGAACAGTCAAAATTTTCGTCATCGTTAACATGTCTGCAAAACTATAGGGCCAATCTGATACCAATTTTATTAAAGGAAGCAGCTTTAAGTATTCCTTCAAAGAAACAACTTTGCTCTTTGGGGATTAAAACATAAAATAATTCGTTCAAGGAAAGTCAGAGTAATCGAACGAAATTCAATTTATTGTAACCAAGTGTAAGCGAACGCTAACGGAAACATAATTCAAAATCTGAGATCTACATGAATAAATAGGGCAGGTTTCTTACGTGCTTCTTCGTCGGTGGGAAAGTGTAAAAGGGTAATTTTGGTATTACCAACTGAATTTATAACGTAAATTGGCCCCGGTAAAAAGTTTCAAAGCTGACGTTACGAGCGTTAGCCCTTCATCGGAGCGAATGGAGGAATTGTGGATGCGTGTGTTTATAGGAAGAAAATGGAGCTAAGCTATTGGTGGGAACGTGATGACGAGAAAATAAGAATAAAATAACTGAATGAAAAGCGCTCGTTGATTCAGTGGAAATTAGGAGTGCTGATTTGAGAAATAAATTTTTGTTCTGCCTAGATGTAAGGAAAGGCCACAAACTGTCAGTTTGCTAACAATGATCAGGGAAGATTAGCTTCGACTGGTTTGGGTGCGTCCTTGTCATTTCTATCTACGTCGCGAAGGGGTGTTCTTGGAATCGGTCACCTAATCGCCTTCCTGTTTCACCCACGTATAACTACTTGTAGTGAATGTAAGTTAT